GCAATTCTGCTATTGGTTCGAGGTCACAACTATCTGGTCTCATGTGTATGATGCTGTTTGATTTCTGAAGTTCGCTATCGCTCATTTTCCTTGCAATTTGGTATCGGAGCTGTGGTACGGTGTGCTCATCTGGCGCTTGTCTTCTGCCTATGCGGTACATGGATGCGGTCGGCTAAGCGAGCGGCCGTAGAGAGTGTGTAGTGAGGAGGGCGAAGGCAAGCAGGCGACCCAGGCGGAGAGGGGATCGCCAGGAAGGCTACATGGTGAATACTGGGTGTTCTCAGTGTGATGGGAACTATCCGATGTGCGATTGATGTTGAGGTGGAATGGCAGTATAATGCTGGTTGTGCCGAAGCAACGATTGGTCATCACAATCGGCATTGGGTCATCTGGTGAGAATATTTGTGGTTGGGGGCAGCTATTTTGAGGTACGTTGCACCTAACCTTATCTACCCCCTTCGACACTTCTTACCGTGAGGATGTGTGTTCTGTCTTGAGAGTCCTCTCATGTGAGGAGTCGTGTGTGCTCAACCTTGAGAGCCGTAAGTGTTCACGTGGAGCATCTGGAAGGAGAGGGCGGTGCTATCTGAAGGGCGCTGGACGAAGCACTGGGTCACGGTCACCATGCCAACCCACCGGGAGTAGGGCACGCATGCTTTGTTGCTTTGTCCTTTGTCTGCTCGCTGCACTATAGAGGGGTTCTGGGGGGCAGGCCAGCCCTACAGGAAAGACGAGTACCGGACGTCTATAAATAAGTACCGACGGGCACCTTCCATTGACTGTGATCGTCGTCCTTTTTGTGACGTTAAATAATTCTTGAGGACTTCGGGGGGCGTCCATAAAAACGCCTCATGATCGGTTAGTGTAAATCTCGCTGCACGCGAGGATAAATATGGTGCAGGGCTGGCCAGCTCAGCAGGACTCGGGCACAGGGGTGGGCCGTGTGCACACCTTTAGATACGCACGCTGTTCCGGATTACCCAGGGACATTGACGACAAGAGACATTCGGGAACAACTGAGGGAGGGGTAGATTCCAAGTGATAAGTTTGGGAAATATTCCATCTTGCAAACAACCAATTAAATGATTCTATTTTTATTTTGATTAGTTAGATGTACAGCCATTAACATCTGACAGACAACATAGTTAGAACTGTTAATTGTTCATTGTGCTTTCTGTTTTCGAACTGGTCAAAGTCAAAATAGTTTCGTTTGTAGGAACCTGAACTTACCTGTTGGACCCAAATGTATATACTCTGACTTAGCCACCGATTAATTATTTAATTATTTTAAATCGGTCTGTGCACGACGCTGCGGTAGGCATAAGAGAGTGACCTAGTGCAGATCGTGTTTAGTTTTGTAGCTTATGAGCGACAGGGATACCACGAGCGAGGACGATAGGATCTTGCAATCGGCTAGACTCCCGATAGCCCACTTGGCGTTAGGACCAAAGGGCGACCGATTCCTGTTCCACCAGCAGAGAGAGAGGCAGCAGCAGCAGAGAAGAGCTAGGGCCGCAGAGGCAAGCAGGGCATTCGCAAGTGAGGCCGCTTCTTCAGCAACCATGGCAACTGCTGTGCAGCAGACCTCTCAGGCTAGTAGTTCAGGGACTATAGGGTCAATTGTCACACATACCCTGAGTCAGTCCACTGGCGTAATGGAAAGCCAACCGTTAGTTTTGACTCCCGAGGAGCTCACCATATAGCAAGCAGCGCTTCAGGAGGCACAACTACAGAAGGCTCTAGGAGAGATAAAGGCAGAGAAGGAAAGAATGATCCGTAGAAGAGCCTGGTTACAACGGGGACAAGCGGGCGTCAGTGAGTTAGAGGGGATGGATCCGACACGCATGGATGATGATGTGAGGACCCTGCGTGCAATCCTGCTAGATTTAGTAGAAATGCAGGACCACCAGACGAGTCTCTTACAGGACATCTAGCAGAGTCAGGCTGTATTGGTCGGGCAAGCGCACACAGCTCCATCGCCGTTCGGGCCTGGTGCCTGGCCCGTTGTACATCCTCCTCCTTTTGTCCCACTGGTGACTGGGGTATCCCCATATGTCTCTTCAACATCGGTCCAAGCCGCTTCCCTAGGTATGTTGTTAACAGGAGGGTTCTCAACAGGTCCTAGTGTACAGGTTCCTGTACAGTCAGTGTATTCCTTACCTCCGTCGCAGGTTGTCGTAACCGGGCAGCCTACTGTCTCGCAGCCTGCACAGCCGCAGGGTACATAGCCCCAGCAACCGCTAGTGCATCAGCCTGTTCCCCAAGGTCCATAGACGGGAGTGAGACAGGTACCGGGACAAGGACAGTGGATTCCAAAGACGACCATCGCCTCGCCTAAACCCTTTTCAGGGGAGAAGAGGGGAGAAGAGGGGCGAAGACCTCGACACATGGTTTAGGTCAGTGTCAGTCTATGTCAAATGCAAATTGACCTTGCCGCACGAGGAAGTGCTTGTGGCTGCCCCCTATTGCCTCCTATTTAGAGGGGAGTGCAGCAAGATGGTTGAGTGGTTTAGTGCAGTTACAGGGATACTGTCATGACTTCTGCGCTTGGGCAGTTAACCAGAAACTGGACGACTTCCTCAAGTTGGTGGAAGATAGGTGGCATGATCCTCAGGACGCTCAAAAGGCCACTGATGCGATCCTGACTCTGAACAACAAACAGTTCAAGTCAGTAAGGGAGGCCACGGACGCAGAAGAGCGTCGGATCTGTGTTCCTGGAGTGCGCTACGACCCCCAGGTTTGACTCACCTCATACCTGAGATGCTTTCCTTTGCCTCTCAGGAATCAGTTGGCAGGTGAGGCCAACATCAACATGCACAACTTCCCCTCGTTCAGCAAGAAGGCCCTATACCTAGAAGCAAAGATAGGGCATGGACAAGCACCCACGACGGACGGAAGGAAAAAGTCACTGCCTCCCAACTGAAAGGCGAAGGGTCACATTATGTTCGTCGACAACGGTGGTTCTACCATCGAGTTGGAAGACGACTTTCAGGCGGGAGTGGGTTCAGGGGCAGGCAGCGTAGAGGCTTCAGGGGGTGGAGTAGTCGCTGCCTCATTACAGAAAGGTAAGGCGACCGGTAGACGCAGTGGAGGCTCCCGGTCTAGGAGTCAAGTTGACCCCAACGCTCCTCCATGGGAGAAAGCGGATCTAACAGAGGACGTGTGGAGAGATCGGTACACCCGGCAGGCTTGTATCCGTTGTGTCCAATATGACCATAATCAGTTCAAGTGCTGTAACAAAAAGGTGACCGAGAAGATCCCGCCTACGATGGGGCAGGCGATGGGATCCTCCTCTCCCGTAGGTAGCAATGTGGCCAGCAGTCCTGGCACTGCTCCGGGAAACGCATCGGGCCAGTAGGGATAGTAGTTGTTCCTGCTAGGGTTGAGGTGGTGGAAACACCCTCACCATCTCGAGAGATGGCCCAAGCTACTGACTCCGTTGTCGTCCCGCAAACACATTCCGACCCATCGAGCCTCTGTTCGATGAATGTGTTCGAGTCCTTAGAGGAGCTAGAGGAGGAGTGGTCACATTGGCTAAATCCCCTAAGAGTGAAATGTTCGTCGGTGAGGTAGTCATCGGCGGCCGCAAGGCTGGGGCCTATTATGACACTTGCTCGACGCAAAATTTTATCAGTCGCGCGTGTGTTGGGAGGCTGCGCTTAAAGGGGCAAGTGCAGCGCCTAAGTCAACCTGTGGAGTCGACCTGTGCCAACAAACATCGCATGGTAGTCAATGACTACCTCAAAGACATTGAGTGTTTTTTTTCCGTACGCGGGAGGGGAACTGAGACATCACGTCTCGTTCCTAGTCAGCGATGATCTCCCAATGGACATTATGTTGGGTATGTACTATCTTTCGGTTGCACAGCCCCAGTTTGACTGGGATCGAAAAGTGGTCAAGCACACTTTGCCAGGTGGGGGGACCACCAGATTACGTAAGTTTAAGGCTAGTAGTCTAATCGAGTCCTACGGATGCATGTGTGCGGCCGCGTTCTATAATTATTATAAGCAAAATCCGAAGGAGGGTATGTATCTGGTTTGTGTCTCTGCAGCAAGCGAGCCGGTGAAAATGCCGCCGGAGATAGAGGGAGTTGTCGCTAAATACCCTGATCTATTTGAAGAGACGAAAGGGGTTGTTGAGAGGGAGGTCGTCCATGCGATAGAGATTATCTCAGGGTCTAGCATTCCAAAGGGTAGGATCTATCGGATGTCTCCAAGCGAGTTTGATGAGCTTCGCCGGCAGCTCAAGGAGTTCGTAGAGAAGGGTTGGATCCGGCCGAGTGTCTCCCCTTACGAATCATCTGTCTTATTTGTACTGAAGAAGGGAGGAACTTTGAGGATGTGCATTGACTATAGGGGCCTCAATGCCATCACTGTCAAGAACCGAGAGCCCCTACCGCGCATCGATGACTTGTTGGACCGAGTGCGAGGGTGTCGGTACTTCAGTAAGATAGATCTGAAGTCCGGGTACCATCAGATTGCAATACGTCCTGAGGATCAACAAAAAAACGCTTTTCAAACCAAGTACGGTCTGTACGAGTTTGTGGTGATGCCTTTTGGCCTTTGCAATGCTCCTGGCACCTTTCAGCTGACAATGAACCGGATCTTTCATGACTACTTGGATAAGTTTATCATCGTGTACCTTGATGACGTACTTATCTTCAGTAGGACTGTTGAGGAGCACATTGGTCATTTAGACAAAGTCCTTAGTCTCCTTCGGCAGCACAAGTTCAAGATCAACGGCGAGAAGTGTGAATTTGGCCGCACCCGTATCTTGTACTTGGTCATGAGATTTCCGCAAAGGGATTGAAGCCCGATGACGCGAAGGTGGCCAGCATTCGTGACTGGACGCGTCCTCAGTCTGTGACTGAGATGAGGTCCTTCTTAGGGATGACCGGCTACTATCGCAACTTTGTGAAAAACTATAGCATAGTGGTCGCACCTTTGACGGACCTAACCCGCCTTGACACCCCATGGGAGTGGACAGACAGGTGTGAGGCTGCTTTCAGACACCTGAAGCATGCTCTGACACACTATGAGGTCTTGAAACTTCCTGATCCTGACAAGCCGTTCATAGTCACCACGGATGCTAGCCAATGTGGCATAGGCGTCGTGCTCGCGCAGCAGGAGGGGCCAAAGTTGAGGTCTGTTGAGTACATGTCCAAAAAGATGCCCTCTCAAAGTTGGTTAAGTCCACCTATGAGAAGGAGCTCTATGCGATCTATAAAGCACAACAAAGTTGTTGATGCGCTGTCGCGCAGGCCAGATTTCTCTGGTGCGCTGATCACTGAGTTTGGGCTTGCGGACGATGTTACTCGCTCTTTGGTGGAAACCTATCGCGAGGATCCGTTTATGGCTGAGATCATATGCAGACTCGAGACGAAGGACAAAACAACTTCTGCTGAGTTTGAGTTGGTCAACGGCCTACTGTTCCTTGAGAAGGCTGGGAATAAACGTCTGTGTGTGCCTAACCGTGAGTCTTTGCGTAGTTTATTTTTAGGCGAGTGTCATGATGCCGCAGGACATTTTGGGTATAAGAAGACTGCGGCCAATTTTCTGCAGCAGTTCTGGTGGCCCACGATGATGAGAGATGCCAAGCTGTACGTGGAGACTTGTCAAGTATGTCAGAGGGACAAGCCACGTACACAGGCCCCTCTTGGGCTTCTTAATCCGGAAAGGCCTGGATAGAGCCTGTCCATGGATTTCATGATACACTGGTCAAGAGTGGAATGAGACACATCTTTGTCATTGTGGATAGGTTTAGTAAATATGCTAGATTAGTGGCAATGCCTGAAACAGCGAAAACGGAGGATGTGATTAAACTCTTCAAGGAGAACTGGGTCAGGGACTTTGGGCTTCCTAAGTCTATTGTTAGTGGCAGGGATGTCAGATTCACAAGTGAGTTGTGGAAGGCTGCAGCTGCAGAACAGGGTACACAGCTGCAGATGACCTCCGGGAACCACCCAGAGGCAAACGGCCAAGCAGAGCAGCTGAACCGCGCTGTACAACACCTGTTAAGGCACTACATCAAGCCCAATCAGGTGGACTGGGATGAGAAACTTGCTCTCATCACCAGCCTGTACAACAACGCTGTGCACAGCGCCACTGGGGTGAGCCCTAACAGTCTGCTACTGATTTTCAAGCCTAGACTACCACTGGACTTCCTATTACCTGAGAACCAGCCGACTGCTGCACCTGGCACACTAGAGTTTGCCTATGAACAACTGATGCAGCAGGCGGTAGAGCAGATGCACAGGGCACAGGCGGCGATGATAGAGTCTGAGAATAAGCACTGCCGCTCATCTACATTCCAGGTAGGGGACAGAGTTTGGGTTAAGTCCTCAGAACTGGGTCAGGAGCACGGGATCTCCCGCAAGCTCATGCCACAGTACTTTGGACCCTGCGACGTTGGGGATGATCCGGATGGGCCTTCATATGTAGTTCAGATCCCTGGTCACCTTCGCACTTACCCAGTCTTCCACGCCTCCAAGCTCGCACCTTTCAGGGAAACTGACCAGTTTCCTTCTCGTCGCTCAATGCTGCCCCCAACCATGGATGGAGAGGTCGACATCAATGACATCGTGGATCACAGAGAAATGCCAGTTCCAAGGCCTACAGGCAGGGGACGTCCTACGAAACCGAAGCTGCAGTATCGCGTTCGGTTCAGACATCACACTGATCCTAAGGAGGATAGATGGTTTACACGGGAGGAACTGATGCAGACCGTCCCACAAGTGGTCGCCCACTACAAGAAGTTACTGCAGAAAGGAAAGCGCCAGATTGAATGAACTTCTCAGGGGACTAGCGAAGTATGGGGGAGGGAATGCGAGGCACAAGGCCTCGATATGCCCTACAGGGCCTATTTTCCACACAGTCGGCCACCCTTAAGTGAAGGCAGGCTCGACCGAGGCCTACAGGCCATTTTGGGGTCACCACGCAACTGGGGAAATTCAGGCAGTTGCGCAGCGCCAGTTGATTGAGAGCGCCCAGGCCCAGACTACCTCCTACGAATGTAACTGAGGCAGGCCCTGGCCCAGAGTCGCTACATGGACCGAACACAGGCCGCGGGCAGTTGGACATGGACAACCACCACAGGCCCAGGGCCTGTTTTGTTTGGACTGGGCCTCAGCCTCTTTGAGCCTACCGGAAGCTTCTGGGCAGGGGCCCAGCACAGCCAGGCTGCGCGCAAGCAGGCAGGCCACTTCCATTTAGGAAAGGGCCTGCCCACGCATTCGGCATCCGGGCACTGGCTGCATG